TTTGTGTGTGATGGGTAGATGAGGTGGGGTGTGTTGGAGGGTGGGGGGGGGGGGGGGGGGGGGGGGGGGGGGGGAAGGGGGAGGGAAGTGGTCGGTGCAAAAAAAAATTTCATGGCCATTGCTTTGAACATTTTCGTTCAAAATTTATATCTTTTAAAATTCAACTATACAACCTAAGTTAGGCTTACAATGGAATATGCAGCAATAGCTTGTTACAGGAACAGAGTAGACTCATTGAAAATATTCAGAGGCTCTTTACGTAGGATTTCTATGATTAAAGGTTGCCTTATTTGTTGAGCAAATCGATCCTTATGGAGATAAAAATAAAATACAATTTTTCTTAGGAATAAAAAAGAATGAGACATCTCAATTAAAATATTATATATAATAATAACAATGATGACATTCGTATTAATAATCATAATAAAAAGTGAAATACTGCTAGAAATACAAAACCAAACTAAAAATTATGACGGACTGGTATTTAAATGAAATGCAAAATTAAATACAAAAATTACAAAAGTTGCAAATGGCAAGAAACGCTTTAAAAAACAAAAATAGCTGTAAAGAACGAGATGTAAAAATATGAAAATATATAATATAGAATGGAATAAGAAAAAAAAGTCCATCCGCATGAAAAAATAAGATAATCAGGACCCTCTAAAGAAAAAATAAGCAAACGTAATCAATAAGTTAAACCGAAATAAATGAAAAAAGCTAAGCAGAATACATAAGCTTAAAGTTTTCCAAAAAATCTTTAAAAAAATGAAAATATTGCGGATCGCAATGAGCTAAATAATGGCTTGATCCAAGAAATGTAATGAAAATAAAAAAGGATAATCCAGAAAAATTCTACGATAATAAAACGACTAAATGGGAAAAATACAGGACGGGGTCGGGTTTTTCCATGATCGGGGAACGAATTTTTTTTATAGTAATAATCCAACAGCTCATCCTAAAACAACTGAAAATTAAAAATATAAAGTAAGCAAAATCATATCTTTGGTCAAGAATATAAAATATCCCCAACACAATGTTTGATCTCAGTTCAATTAAAATGAAATTAAGGAAAACAATTCGGCAAATTTTTACCTTATTCAATTAAGCAATCAAATTCCTATGATCTTAACTCAACTAAGCTTAACTGGTTCAATAATGACTTAATTCTAATCCTGAATAAATCGGAATGATCTGCTATTTAAAAATTTTTGGAATGACGATATTCCTTCAAAAAAAAAAAATGAATAAAACAAGGAAACCTTCTTTTCATATAGGCTATAAAGCCATTTTTTGAGAATACTTTCATCAATCCATTCAGCTTTCACAGGAATAACCTACAACAAGGGAAAACAATTAATATCTATTCAATTATCAAATTTTTTTATATTCTTTAACTTATAACAAAAACGTTTGAATTTTATATCGAAAATTCGATGTTAAATTCACTACCATCTTAAGAATTAGAAATGGAAAACTTTCTTTATAGTGGATTCCAACTGTTGAAACACCATGAGGGAATTCTCCCATCAAATATTGTCCTAGATTTGCCACATCACCTTTATAATATGCAATAGTACAATCAACAATATATTCAATCGGTTTTCCAAGGCCAGAATATGCCACATCGGAAGTGCCTAATGAAAATAAACTGATACCCTGAACCATTCGAGAAAATCTATGAAATATAAGTATGGCTTTATTAAAAAATTATTTAAAAAATTTTCAACTTCAAAATTTTTAAAAATTTCCCAATTAATCAAGAAAAGAAAAAAACCCAAATGCAGTTAATGCTGATAATAAAAATAAAATCAGCAAAGCCAAAGTAAACTAAGAAGTTAAATAAAATTGCTACCGAATTTATTGAAAAATTAACTACCAATCTTTCCAGCAATAACCAAAGCAGCATGAGCAGCTCCTACTCGAGGTAAAGCACAATGCTTATAAACTTTGTGGCCAATTTTCTCCGCAAATCGTTTGTTATTTTCTTTTATTAGAAATAATCGTGATCCTAAAAAACCATTAATTATAAATTATAAAACATGAAATATAGAGAATTGAAAAAATTCCATAAAATTCTAACTTTACTGGGAATAAATATAGACAGGTCATATTAATATTCTTTTCAATTATGGCAATATTTCGTAAATTATGAACTATTTCCTGTCAATGTTCAATTCATATTTTCCTTTTATATTTAATTATTGATTTAGTTTAAATATTTCCGCAAATATTAAGCAAATTTGATATAACCTTCCGGATACATGATCAGCCATCCATAATCGTGCTTCCAATAATATTTTCTTAAATGTTCTTTAAAATCATTAAGTTGCTTTTCCCGCTTCGATGATCCACCGTTAATGAAAAAATTACCGTGAATAAGCCACATTGCACCTAGAGGTGTTAATTTCCAGATGTTGAAAATTACCCATAAATACTAAAAAAAAAATAGATTATAAGAATCGTGCAATCTAATTTAACGTGGTTGAAATATAGTTGTTTACAAAAAAACCTTTCTAATATATATTATTTTTTCTAATTTCTATTTGTTCTTTATTTTCGTGAATTACTAGAAAGGAACGAAGACAATACCTTCTCAACGACAGTTCCTTTATTATGTAAAGCAGTCATAATAATAAAATGATCTGCCAAACCAAGATGATTTGATAAAAACAAAACACGTTTATTAGCAACCTGAAATTCCTCTCAATAAACGAAATTCTGCGACAAAAAAAATAGACAAAAAGCAGCTAAAAAAATAAAAAAGAAAGCATTTACTTCGGAAATATCGTCACCAAATTCGACAATATTTAAACCAACATTTAATAAAGCAGACACCCAATGATCATTCACCATTCGACATAACTTATGATCAATCCAATTATAAATTCGTACACTATAAATTCAAACATAATTTGAAAAAAGTGAAAAACCTTTAATTAATAAAAGGTACATCGAAACAGGAAGAAAAAAAAGGAAATGTAAGAAATAAAACAAGATATATTACAAAAAAAAGCTAAAAAAAAGAGATGTTTAACAAAGTTTAAAAATAAAATTAATTATATGATATCATGCAAAATAAGATCAATGCTTAATATATTGTTCTAATTTCATTATGAATATAGCAGTTTTTTTGCGGACTAAACATAAATTAAAAGGAAATCACCGCTAGTTAATGAAATATTCTGAATTTATTTTTGATTGATCGTGGTCGTCAAAGTGGTCAAAGAATTTTTTGTAAATAAGAACTGATTACTAGATTCATGCTTAAAGTGGTAATATCACTAATTTAATAGAATAATGGATAAAAAAAAAATAAAATAAAATAATGACAAAGACATACTTGATGAGAATGATAGGTAAAAGTATTGTTAAAAATGTAGCAACAACAGCACAAGGAACGATAAAAATCGTCATAATAATCCAATAAAATGAACCTATAACTGCAATAATTTTTCGTAAATCCATTGAATTTGCCACAATTTTTGTAATAAAGCTATCTTCAACATTCATCGTAGAACCATCAATACCAGAAATTTGTTCTGCACCCGGTGTTAACATTTTTCCAAAAACTAAAGATTCTTTTTTAAAAAGTAAAAAAATAATTCACAATTAAAATTTTGATGAAGAAGCAAAACTATCGGCAATTATTCTATCTCTTCTACCTGATAATAAAAGTAATAAAACCGCTAAATAATATTAATACGATAGAACGATAAGAAATTTGATAATTTTTTAAAACATATACTTCATATTAATTGATTCATATTATATTTTAAAATATTATGAATATTAATATAAATTATATAAGCAAATTTTCTTTTTTGAAAAAAATATATTTTTTTTGTAAAATAAATAATTTTTTTTGTAAAATACGCAAGCAACTAGACAGTTGTCTAATCTAATGGTATTTTTCTTTCTTTTTTCCTTTTCTCCTATTCCTTCTTCGCTTCCTCTTTGTTTACCTATTAAAATTGTTGTTTATTAATATCAATAAATACATGGGAAAATTAGAAAATTACATTACCATTAGAAAAAGAAATACCATCCTTAAATAAATTTTGTAAAGAATCATATGAAAAATTGAAAAATTAACTGAATGAATTGCTGAAAAATAATAGCTACGTTTTATAAAATAGAGAAAAATATCAAAATTTTAAACAGAATTTCTAAAATTTTCAAAATAACTTTTGCAATACAAAATAAAAAAAAAGAAAATGCGATGGCTCATTTCCTAAACGTATAAAATCTAAAAAAAACAGTTAGTTATAATTTACCATTTCATGAGGCGATCCTTGGTTAATATTATAAGGATTTTCATAGCAGATAATCAGTGAGGTTAAGCAAAACAGAAATGGTGCCACTTGAAAAAAAAAGATTAAAGAATTAAATTAAAGAATTAAATTAAATCCTTGACATGAAAGAAGCAACGATGAACTACATAAAATGAATAAAAAACATATTAACTGAATAAAAAAAATTGAAATTAAAAAAATAAAGGCAGCGAATAATCAGAGATTAAATAAATAAATAAAAAGGACAAAATTAAATAGAAAAAAATTGAATCGTGAAATATGAACAAATAAAATTAAATGAAGCGAAAAATAAACAATCTCCAAAAATCAGCAGGAATGCTATGCAAAACTCGAAAATGCCAGCTAATCAAATATTGGTGTTAAGAAGAATACTGGAAAACTGGCAGCACACGCGCAACTGATCGCCATCATCGCCACTCGCGCAACGGCCCCTCGTTCCCGTCAGTATTTCACTTCAAAGAGTAATTAAAAGTCAAAAAGAAAAAACAGTCTCTGACTGAGAAGATCAGAGGAAACTGTATATCTAAATTAATTGCTTTTACACAATTTTCAGCCGAAATCCTTTTCAAAAAATTTTCATATATTTTAATATTTTAATTGAAAATTTTTTTCTTAAAAAAAGTCCAATATTCAATTTCAAATGGAAATTACTATCTGCCAAATCAAAAACAATTAAAAATCGATCTGAACAAAGTGAAGCAATTCCCCCTACCAAAAAAAAGTGAACTTCAACCAACTTTTAAATTAAAAATTAAGTAATTAAAAAATTCGACAGAGAATCGTTGTAAGACCCTGATTTATGGTAATAAGGTTAAGTTGATTCAAAATTTTCTAGTTAGTTCTCCTTTTCTTCTAACAGCTCTCACCATTACTGGTTAGGCTGGCTCCAACGGCTACAAGGGTATGGCGCTTCCAAACGGCGGGTTTGATGTCATCGTCTACAGTGATAGAAGCCATTCCTTTTTCCATGTATCAGTCCAGGTCTTGACGGGCTTTTAACGCCATCCATCACACGGTTTAGCAAGTAATGCGACAACTCTTGTGGTGGAGGATAGAGAACGTGCCCTAATCACCGAAGGCGGCGCTCTCTGTTATTATTATTATTATTAATATACAATTGGTGTTTGAATGAAGGTGGATGCGAGTGGATGCGATCGTGTGATATTCTATCTCCTCGACGGAGCCGTAAAATATATCTTAAACAAAAGTGGTGAAAGCTAGATAGCTTATTAATATCCTCCACTCTCATTGGCCATGTTTCAGAACAATATAGCAAGGTCGAACGAATCACGGCTATATAGATGCGGTCTTTCGTTTTTATGGTGATTTCACAACGGTTCCATAAAGGTTTCGTAAAAGAAGCATTTTACGTTTTGCATACCCTAACTCTGAGTCCTATTCTTATTGCAGTTTCTGATATGTTATTTAGCATTACTTGCATTTCGACATAAATGTCATAAGGACTACATCATCAGCGTATTCAAGATCTGTGATACCTGGACCCTAGGCTGATTTGGATACCCCTTGCCGACAAGCAGTGTCCATTACCCAGTCTATCGCATAGTTGAATACTGTAGAGGAAAGGATGCAGCCTTGACGAACACCAGTTCTTATTTCAGTTCCCCATATACATAGACCTGCGCCGATGTACGCTCATAAAATGCCTTTATGAGTCGAATAATCTTCTCTGGAACCTTCGCATTCCATCACCCTCCAAAGCTCCTTTCTATCAATTGAATCAAAAGCAGCCGCAAAGTCGATGAAACAAAGGCAGTGTGTTGCAAATATCTGAAGCGATGTTCCAACACCCTTAATGTGAATATCAGCACAACCGCTTTCGTGTCTGAATCCACCCTGATTAGGGCGCATCCTGCTGTCTCGTACTTCCATAAATCTTTTGAGTAAAAGGGAAGAAAAAATTTTCGCTGAAACGTCCAGTAGGCTGATTCCTCGATATCGCAGTATGTTTCTATCATCTTTCTTGAGAATTGGGAGCAGAATTGTTTTACTCCAATCATCTGGTAATATTTTTTTTCCCATAACACAGAATACATTTGTTGAAGGTGTGTTATGAAGGACGATGGGCGATAGAGTTCAGAATTCAGCTCGAAGACCACCTTCTCCCGGGGACTTATTGGCCTTAAGCTTATGGATAACAGATAATATTTCTTCTTCTGTCGGGAGGTCGTACTTTCAAGCATATGATTGAACGAACTATCAGTTATATCAGGCAACAGATGGCATTTCATGGTTAAGTTTGGCCTCAAAGAATTCTTTCCATCTTATGAAGCTTTCCTTACTTTTACTCTTGACTGGCACGCCATTGCTGTCCCTTGCCATTTCACTGATCGTTTTCCGAATTATAGTTGCTTTATGAAGAAGGCGGAATAGTTTCGTATTATCGCCTAATCGAGCCGCCGCCTCCATTCTTGAGGCCATGTCACTCCGATGGAGATTTCTTTCCCGCCATGCTGCTTTCTTTGCAAATCTTCGAAGCATCCGGTAATCAGGATCACCTGACACTCGTTCTTTAGTAGCTTTTTCAAAAGTTGGACAGTTGCTTCGGATACCCAACTAGCCCACCACCTACTAATATGCCCTAGCGGCTGACTTTCGGAGACATTCCTTTAGTTTTGACCAGTATTCATTTGCCGTTCCAGAAAAATCATTGATGTTTGTATCAGTGAGATGATTCAATAATTCATTTTGAAATGCGCTCACAGCTCCCGAATTTTTTAGTTTGAGATAGTTGAAGGATTTTGGGAGGTAGTTGAAGACTGTTTTCTACGAGTTATTAATTTTATGCGGATCTTGAAGCATAACATGGTCAGATCCATTGTCCGTTTCAGCGCCGCAGTTGGAACGACTATTTAGTACGGAACTCTTCCAACAGTGACTGTTTAAGATATAATCATTCTGGTTGTTGGTTATTCGGAGAGTTCCACGTGACTAGATGTTTTCTATGATGCCGGAAGCAAGTATTGGTAACAAAAAGTTCATGCTCTTCGGCATAAAGACGTTCCCTATTGGCACACTGGTCTCCGATGCCATATTTGCCAATTGTAGAGGTCATAGCAGCGGCATTATGACCTACGTGTGCATTCCAGTTTCCCCCGACTATGACTTTGTCATATTTTAATTTACTTTGTTAGCAGTTGAAGTTCCACATCAAATTTATATTTATTACGGTCATCTGCAGACAGAGTTGGAGCATAGACATTGATGACCGAAATATTGCAGAACTTACCCTTAAAACGGGCGATACGGTCGCTTACCGGTTTCCACTCAATCAAAGCGGAATGGCTTTATCAGATATGACAATCGCCATGCCATTTCGCTCCGAGTTATCCGATACACCACAGTGATATGACCAGTATCTCTGCTCCAAGCCAGGACTAATAATTACTCGAGAAATAAGGAAGACGGACTTCCGACAAGTAAGCGGTATCGGCACGATATTTAAAGGGTGTGGACAATGATCGTTTGGCTTGCAACGTCCATAAGCATTCTGACATTCCACGCTGATACAACTGAAACCTCGTCATGCGTACAGAAAGCTGTTCCCCTTCATAGGTTTCGAGCAATTAACCTGGATTACGAACACATTTTATTTATCAGCCTTGGGATCGCTTTAAGCCCTTGTGTACTTATCGCATGTACCACCGGGCTGAAAGTGGGCTGAAAGTATCATGCGCATAGCGACATCTCAAAAATATCTGATCCCTTCATCACAGAATCACTTGGGGGTAACGATATAGGTGGGCCCCCAGCAGCCACTTAAATTTTTGGTATAGTTGCAGGTTTTATTCCTGCCAAAGACAAAAAAAAATTTAAAGAAAATAATAAAATAGACAATGAAATTTTAAAAAAATAAATAAAGGAAAAAGGGAATTGAATTTGATAAATATAAATATATATTTATAACTATATATATATATATAAAATATATATATATATATATAATATATATTATACAGTTGATTTGATTTGTAATTTATTTAATTTAATTGATTTAATTTTAATTTATCTTCTTTTAATCGTTGTTTGGTAAAAAAATTAAAAGTTTATGAAGAAAAAAATCAAAAAAGTGACTCAAAAAAATTAGAAGTTTAAGAATTAACTGAATTGAGAAATGAAAAATAAATTCACAAAAGTAAATCGAGAATATTTTATTTGAAACGACCGCTTAGTAAAAATTTGATTCATCACTGTTTCTTTGTTTCCAGAGACTGGTGCATATCTCGT